AAAATCTGAAAACTCAGAAATGCTTGAAATTTCAATATTTCGAAATTTAAGGACGCTAATTTACTTAAAATTTATACACCCGGCTTATCATGTAGCGGTCAGCTTTCGGAAAGGTGGAAAACATATATTTAATACTTGCGCCGGGTATTTAATGTTCGGCTCCGCCCGAACTTAGACTTTCTTACTTGTTTAATATTAAAATTTTCTATACTTCAAAGCGTTTATAAAAATATATTTACATATATGCACGGACGATTTTTAATATTTTTCAACCGTAAGCAAATCTTCAGTACCATAAAAGATTCAAACACATCAAAGTACAAGCAATGCAAAGTCCAAGTTAGTGGTACTCCACTGTACATGTGTATATGAAAGTATGCATGTATGCGTGTAAAAAATGCCAATTCCAGTTAGTGTTTAACCCATTTTAGCGGACATAGTTTTTTTGGTTTCAGCTGGTTCCAACTGTTAATGAAGCACAATTTTTATGGTTAATCTTGATGAAAGTTACATGTATCGTCGAGAACATGGTTACATGCAGAATTTTAAATTAATTAATATTATTCTCCATACAAAATGCACAAGTATTGCCATATTCAATGCAAAGTTATGCGAAAATCTAAATATTTCGTAAACGTAGGGTTAATGGTTTCGCGCACGTGCCAATCTGGAGGCGATTCGCAGAAATTGAATAATTTGTGTTGACGGAAGCGGCGAGGGGAAGACGAAAGCAGAACAATCGTATATATGTATGTACATATGTGCATTTATAAATGCATACATACTTACATTTTAATTTGTTTGTCTTTTTGGATGCATAAAAAATTTGGTAGGAGAAATAGGTATTGAAATGAAGTTTACAAATATGTGCTTTATAAATTTAGGTTTAGTTATTAATAAATTAGATATGTAAATGACAATGTGGGGGACAAATATGCACATGAGTAGCGGAGCTGCCACCCATCCAATGGCAACTTACACGACTTTATTAGAAAATATTTGAAAACTGAATAAATATTGAAAATGTTGAAAAATTTGTTAAATAGTTTCGGCTTAGATTAGCGAGATCTTTACTAATTGCTGCGAAAATCCGAT